CCCCGCTGCCATGCTGTTATTGCATGTGACATCGCACTCACCGCATTTACTTGCACCATAGCGCGTAACCTGTTCATACACCGTGCGGGGCACCACCACGTCACTTTAACCTATGAACCACCGCCGTAGACTAGATGATACTAGGTCGGCTTCGCGCAATATGACAAATGTAAACGCTCAGCATGGTTACCTACACTCGCGCAACGCACTGCACCTAGGCCCAACTAGCAAACTGCGTCATAAAGCACAAGGGTGCAATGCTCGATGCAAGTGCCGGCGCGACATACTCCTTGCAACCGCAGTAAGCCGCGCGCGCGCGAGCCTGACCCAAGCCCCCCTCCCTCCAGGCGGGCAGCCTGGAGTAAGATGTTTGGGGGCCTCTGAGACGTCCCCAAAGTCCTCCAAGACACCCCAGAATGCCAGACCCGTAGAACTCTTCAGACAACGTGCTGGCGCACTCCTCCGCTGGGCCGCCGTCTTCGGCCACTCGTCCCCTGGCAGCTGAGGGGCGCCGCGGCGCCCTCTGCGGGGCCATCTTGGGCTACTCTCAGCCCGCAGGCCAGACCCTCCCAGCCAGACTTCCAGGGGCGGGCGGCGGACGCGAGGCGGTGCAAGTGAACACGCTCGACCCAACGCGTCAACACAAACTCGCACGTGCGCCCTGGTGTGTTTCGCATCACCATGCGTCGTCCAACCGCCGATCCCAATGCCACTCACCAACAACCAATCGCCCACACTCACGCAGTCGGCACAACTGCGGCTGCGTACCGATACGCTGGGCTGGCTCTGATGCAGGAGGCTCTCCTGGTCCAGCGCCGCACCAGAGAATCCGCCATGGCCTCAGTCTGCTACCCCTCAACAGGAGAATTCCAAATGCCGGCTACACACTAACACCGACTGCACAGCAGCACTATAGGCCTGCCCACTTTCGGTGCTTTCGTATAGTTGGCAGCTTCCTGGGGGCGCAGCATGATGGTCCGAGGTTGTTGACCGCTCACGACCGCGCCTGAAGCAATCAAGACAGAAGACCGCACAAGATCTGCGGAATCGATTGGTCACCCAACAAGTTGGGACCCGTGCTGAGAATAGGTCATCAAGGCACGCCGAGAATAGGAAGTGCGAGAGCGTCTGAGATACTGCTGCCCCGACCGCGGAACCCCCTGTCCATCCTCATGGGTCACCAAACCATGCAAGCCGAGACCCCACGATCTCCATGGGAGCTTCCATACTGCATGCTGAATTGCCCAACATGTCAATTCGATTCTGGTGCATCAAGATGTGTAGGCAACTCTGAATACTGAACTCTGGTCAGAACTTGGGAGTCTCGCGCAATCATCACCAAAGCTCTCTACACGCGAACGCGTGTTAAGACAGGCCCATTATTCATCTTAACACGTGCAAGAGCACCAAGAAGCTGGAACACTCACACGGACACGCGGCTGGATCCACATGTGGAACACCCGGAGGCCACGCGCTGAATACACATGCGAAGGGCTGGCGTACACGGCCACAGCAGGGCCGACCGATGGGAACACCTGTGGCCACACGTGCGTCCAGCTCTCGTCCAGGCCGGCCACGCCGTGTGCAGCTGGCTTCCTGGTATGGCCTAGGGTGTCCACCTCCGGCGCAAGATTCGGGGAACAAACAATGACCTAACATATATAAAAACTCGAAGGTCCGTGCGGATTTCCCGGACTGGCGCTGGATCCCGCTCCCTGGCGCACGGAGCGCGCCAGGGGCGGCGCCGGAGGCGCCGCCAGGGGGGCCCCAGTGCCGATCCGAGGAATCCGCGCGGACCTCCGAGTTTTTATGCGTATGTCATTGCTTGTTGACCTAAAGAGAGAGGGCAGGGGTGCACCCAAACCCGCGTCAATGAGATCCTGGCCCTGCTGGATCCTGCAAGATCCGGCGCTCTGACTCACCCTCGTTTGCATTGACCCCCGTCTCTTGAGCCTCGAGATGGCCCAAAACGTCCGCTTCCGTCGCAAAGAGAGCACCGCGGCTGCCGCCAGTGTTTGGCCATGTTCTCCTACGGGGGACCTTGGACTGAAAATGACAACAGCCCCCAGACTATTATTTGACCATCTCTAAATGTTCCTCCTGTTCGTCAGGTTCGTGTCGTGCCGACTTCGGCGTTGGTTTCTGACACCGCGGGGATCGTTCAACCTTGAACGATCGGCCGTTTCCGAAACGTCCAAATCGTTCCATATCGAACGACTCTGGGTCGCCAGCGGCGTTCAACGTTGAACGCCGCTGGCGGAGTCGCCGCCGGTCGACACGACGCGAGCCCACCAATGTGAATGTCATGACAATGGACACTCGAACAATCAATCCTATCATCGAGTTGAACATGAGCCTAAAATATGTAAAGCATGTTCTAAACATGTTTCAAACACGTCTTTGATTACATATTCAAAATATAATTGAGATATCTTTTAGACATCTGGAAATTATCGTGCAGCATGCTTCCACTCCATTAATCGACTTCCACAAGCCTACCGCAGAGGGACAGGCCCGACTGAACCACAGTGCTAAGTCGGGCCTGTCCCTCTACAGGGGGGATAATCAAAAATACCCCCAAAACACTCTGGGGACTATTGTTTGAGCATTTTGGGGCATCTTCTGAATCTGTGTTGGATCTGTTTTATTTGTCGTCCAACATCCCCCTGTACAGTGACATTCCCGACTGCACGCTAGCGGCGCAGCGCCGCTGAGGCCACGGCCGGGAAGAGGCCGGCGCGCGCCGCCCGCCCGGGGGCCGAGCTTCGGAGGCAGGAGCGCAGGCAGCAGGCCCTGCGCGCCGTGCCCGCGCCGAGCCTGCACGAGCGACGCAGCAGCGCGTCCCCTCCCCTAAGGGGGGGGAAGGACAGGGAGGAGCATGGAGGAAGGGAGAGGAGGAGGAGGAGGAGGAGGAGGAGGAGCATGGAGGAATGGTGACGAGAAGGAGTATGAGGAGAAAGAAGAGGAGGAGGAGGAGAAGGGGGAGGAGAAGGAGGAGGATGAGGAGGAGGAGGAGGGTGACGAAGAGGAGGAGAAAGGGGAGGAGGAGGAGGAGGAGAAGGAGGAGGAGGAGGAGGAGAAGAAGAAGGAGGAGGAGGAGGAGGAGGAGCTGACGATGCCGCTGGAAGCAGCGGCGATCGCGTGCACGACGCCGCCACGAGGGTCCGAGCTTCGCCGGCGCAGCTCCACGATCGACCCGCAGCCTGCCCGCCCGCGACCCGCGCCTGCCGCGACCCGCGCCTGCCGCGCCCGCGACCCGCCTTCGACCCGCTCCGCGACCCTAGAAGAAAAGAAAAAACACCTGAACATCAGTAAACTTTTGGCGTTCCGCGCGGATTTCCCGGATTCGCGCTGGAGCCCCTCCCTGGCGCGCTCCGCGCGCCAGGGACGGCGTCGGAGGCGCCACCGGGGGGGGGCCCAGGCGCAGAGTCAAGAAATCCGCGCGAAGCGCCAACAGTTTATGTTTATGTAGGTGTCTCTTCTTCTAGACCCGCATGGGACGCAAAGAGACATACTAATACTGTACGTCTGCCTTGGAGGCGCGCGTCTGACCCGAACATATGATATACCCATCTCGTAATATATCGTTTCCCGAGCGGTGTGGCCAGAAAGCGCCCGTCACGACGACCACGCTACAAGTTTACTCGGTGCGCGCGTCGCCCCGGGGCGACGCACTATAAGTATGTTGGGGTGACGCCGACGCAACGAGACGCGCCCGCCATCAGGGTTCGCAGGGGCCCGCACCTGCCGCGACCCGCACCAGCAAGCGACCCGCACTCGTCGAGGCCCGCGCCCCGAGCCTTTGGTGGCAGCTCATCGGAGCCTCCCATGCCGTCTTGTTGGCTCTGGCGAGTCGACGCTAGTCGACGCCGACTCGACGCCAATCGATGCTGGATTGACGCTCACCGACGCTAAAGATTGATTACCAGACGCCAGCGCACGCGACTGCACCCCAGTGTCGGAGCTCCGAGGACATGCAAGGCACCCGTGGTCTGCTACCAAACGGACCCACGCGCCCTCTTGTCCGCTGCTGCGGGGGCCTGCGCGATCACATCCAGGCGCCGTTGTGTCTACACACTGTGGGAGATCCACCGCCGTGCCCGGAGGCACGAAGTGGAGTGCTGCATACTGCGTGCTGTACAGCTATCGATGGCAGCCCCAGAATTGTAAAGGAAGGACCCCCCTCCCCCCCCTCGTCCTCTCAGGGGGGGGAACAGCGTTCCTGGCGAAAGATGTACTGTTCTTTCCCCCTCGGTAATTGTGACCCCCAGTCGGCGTTTCAGTTCTTGTCACATGCTATGCTTCGCGTAATGTTAAGAAGGAGGCGAGGCTCCAGCGGTTTTGGGCCGCTCAAGCACGCATACTCATCGGCCATACGTTTCTTGTAGTCCTTGCACTCGCATTATATCAAAAAGGGTCCGAGGCCGAGCACCCCGGGATGCCTTGGGCGCTGCTTGGCGATTCCATGGCTTGCCGCACGACTTGCTCGAGACCTCGAGGGTGTGGTTTTGAAACCAAGCTCCCCAAATGACGAACCAACAACACACCCATACCCACAGGGGGTGTCGGAGAGGACTAAGGGTACGTGTTGTCGGACGGGAGCGTTCCCCCAAATCCGACAACCCGCACCCGTTCCCCATACCCATAGCCAGTCCTCCTCCCAACGACCCCCCTATGGGTATGGCTGTGTGTGCTGTTCGTTCGTCACCAAGCGTCGGGGGGGCGTCACCCCCGCCAGCAGCTCCGCATCGACCCCCGTCTCGGGCAGCCACCGCGCGCCGAAGGCGCTCCGACCCCCGTCGCGGCGCGACGACGAGGCGAGGTTGACCCCAGTGGGAGGGGGTACCCCCCCACGCTTAGGACGACCCAGTGGAGCAGTCCTGGGGTTCTCTTGGGGACTCGTGGGCCCTCTTGGAAGCCCAAGACGGCCCAGGAGCTCCCCGAGATCGCCCCCGAACGGCTCCTACGCCCTCAAGGACAGCCGACGAGGCAGAAGGCCCCAAGAGGCGCCCGAGAGGGGGCACCGGAAGGGTCCTCTGGGGCACTCCCAGGATGGACCCGGGATCGCCAGCCTACGCGGCGCGCAACAGGCGCCCCAGAAGCCCCCCAGGCGTCCCCCGGAGCCTCCTGGGAGGCTCCCGAGGAGTGCTCCGGAGGATTGCCCCCGGGAGTGCCCCCCAAGGCCTCCAAGAGTTCCCCCCAAAGGGGCTTCCCAGGAGGCGTTCCAAGAGGCAGTCTTTCCAAGAGGCCTCCAACATGCCTCTGGTCCACGACTTAGGCCCGGTGGCCGGACGGGCCGAAAACCACGAATGCTGGCTACGGTGGTGCTTGGCGTGTTGCAGCTTTGAGACCCCTCTGTGGCCCTTCTAAGAAAAGTTTCCCCCTGGCTATCGGCCCGGCCCGCCGCCCCCATGCCAGATTACACCCGATCGGCGCTGCCATCCAAGATTGCCTTGGGTCTCTCAGAGAGCCCTTGTCGCCATCAAGTCGACTCAAGATGTCCGAAGTGGCCTCCAAGCAAGCTCAAGATGCGCTCGAAAGAGGTCAATCTGGCCCTACGACCGCCCCAAGGCGGCCCACGAGGCCCCCAAGAGAGCCCAACGTCGGCCGTAGAGAGCCACAAGACTGCCCTAAGAGCCCCAAGACTGGCCAGAGAGACTTTCAAGATGGCCTCCGATGGGACCAGACGGCAAAACGGCGCCCCGAGACGGTTCCAAGAGATCCACAAGATGGCCCGACCGAGGGGGCATCAAGAGGCCACCACGACGGCCCAAAAGGAACGGAACAGCCCCGATACAGCCCCAAGACAGCCCCCGCCCAATGCTCCACCTCTGGTTGCAACCCATGGGAGCCTCCCAAACCATCTTGTCCGCTCTTGCGAATCGACGCTAGTCGACGCTAAATCGACGCCAATCAAAGCTAAATCGACGCTAATCGACGCTAGCCGACGCTAGATCGGCGCTATCTCATCGACTCCCAGACGCTAATCGACGCCTGTCGACGCTAAAGACGGAAGTAAGAGGGTATACCAAGCTCCCAAGATTTGCTACCGAAGATACAGCCCCAAGACAGCCCCCGCCCAATGCTCCACCAGAGGTGTTCCCCAACAGCTCATTGCACCGGCCTTGTAAACGTGCTGCAGCGGATTTCTGCGTGGATTTCTGCATGGAGTTGTTTTAAAACGGCGAGCGAAAAACTACGTGAATTTCGCGTGGATGATTTTTCGCCCTCATTCCTGGCCAAAACAAATCCGCACGAAATTCACCTCGAAATCTGGAACGAAATCCTCCAGGACACTCCGGGCCGACCCTATCGTTTCCCGGTGTTCCCCTACGGCTGGGGGGTGACACGCGGTCCACCGGAGTGGCCGCAATTTTGGTGGACACTTCGCGACACGGGCGACTCCGAATGCAGGGGGCGGGCGGCGACTCGCCGTGCACCGGCGTCTTCGATGACTATCCATGAGCACTTGGTGGGGTGGCAGCTTCAATCCTCTGGAAAGGGTCTTATCAAGGGGGAGTGTTGACCTTCCGAAAGAGCTTGCCGCCCCCCCCCCCCTCCTCCCGCCTCCTCCTCCTCCTCCTCCTCCTCCTCCTCCTCCTCCTCCTCCATGCTCCACCTCCACCTCCTCCTCCTCCTCCTCCTCCTCCTCCTCCTCCTCCTCCTCCACCACCACCTCCTCTTCCTCCTCTACCCCCACTGCAATCGCTCCGACAGCACGTGCCCCCCCCCCCCACCTTCCCCCCCCCCCCGCGGATCCAAAAGGGGGTGAATATCCCATCAGGAGTAATGGGCGGCATGGCGACCCTGATCCCCGAATGTGTGGGACTCGACTGGACAAGAAAATTGGGATCAAACTTGGGTACATAGACACTGGAGGGCGCCCGTCCCCGAATAGGGGTGCGACCAAGCAGCCACCTCTGAGTGCGTGCGCGTCTGAGTGTGAGTGTGTGTGTGTGTGGCGGCCTTGGGACGCGCGCGCGTCCTATTCTGTGACCTTGCTACGCCCTGTCGCTGCGCGCGGGGCCGCGACGCATATACATATATGCACATATCTATACATATACATATATATATATATGGATATATTTATATGTGTGTAAGTATATGTTAATGTATGCATGTAAATATGCATACATATGTCTGTGTACACATCGATGCATATGTGTATGCGCACACGTGTGCGTGTGTGCGTGTGTGTGTGTGTGTGTGCGTGTGCGTGCGTGCGTGTGTATGTGTGTGTGTGTGTCTGTCTGTGGTCGTGCGTGTGCGTGCGAGCGCGCGCGCGCGTGCGTGCGTGCGAGCGTGCGTGTGTGTGCGTGTGTGTGTGTGTGTACACTTGGCTTCGGCCGCGCGCGTTCTCTAGCTGCTCGGGTGACTTATCCGCCTCGTCGATACGCGCGAGGCCGCGACCACCAAGAAGTGTGTGTGTGTGTGTCTCTGTGTGTGTGTGTCTGTGTGTGTGTGCGCGCGCGCGTGTGTGTGTGTGTGTGTTTGTGTGTGTATGTGTGTGTGTGTGTGTTGGCCCGTGCGCGCCTCTCGCTTGACCTGCCCTGCGCCGCGCCGCTGCGCGCGCGGCCGCGACGCCAAACAGCGTGCGTGTGTGTCCCTGTAAGCATGTCGGAATGATCTGTCTTGTGGCCTCGCCCACGAGCGCCCTGGCGTGGCGGGCCGCACTGCGCCCTCTCCTTGCTGCCTGGACTGCGCACTGGTCGGATCCTGGTCGTCTCACATTATCCCCTCTTCTCCCCCTCCCCCGCGGCGCCCCCCTCGCGAAAAAGAAAATCAAAAGGTACGGATACCGCTACTCCCCAGACCTCTCCCGGGGTGCGTTCTGACCAAGAGTTTCGAGGCGAATCCAGCGGTGGCGACGAGGGTCTCTCAGGAGGCGCCCTCCCGCAGGGGCCTGGATGCTCTCTGGCCGGCCCCAGGGCCGCTGGGAACGTCCGCTGTGCCCTTGCGAGCCCACAGCCTGTGGCGGCGTGCATACGGTTGTGGATGCCATGACAATGGACATCCTAACAATCCCATCATTGAACTGAACATGTGTTTTCAGAATGCTTGAGAAATGCTCTGGAAATATCTAAAACATGTCGCTTACATGTTTGAGGCATACTTAGCAGAGTCTTAAAACATATGGAAATGAATTGGCAACACGCTTCCTCCATTGATCGACTTCCACAAGCATGCGGGGGAGGCGCGAGAGGGCAGCCCTCCAAGATGGGGGGAGGGGGCTTCCGAGAAGGCGGGCGGCTTGCTGGAAGCCTTCTTGGAGCCCCCAGGGCTCTCTAAGAAGCCCTCCGCCTTGTTAGAAGACCTCTTCCCCCGCGCCACCCCTTGTGCGCGCCGCGAGACACTGCCTCACTGCCAACCTCCGCGTCGAACCGGCTCCGCCGCTCTCAAGCTGAGCGTCTGCTCCGTCTGGGGTGGGCACTCGGTGCTGCGGTCCACGTGCAGCAGCAGGCTGTGTGCGGATGGAGTCACGAACAATTGAGTAAGCAGCCGACGGACTGGTCGTCAATGGGAGGACTCGAGAGTCATACGCGTGGCGATGATTTGGCAATGGTGAGACATACAAGCGCCTTATGCATGGCACGCTTCTTGCCCACGGCCCTCGCCCTAACGGTAAGTAGTGACCTTCTTGTAAGTGAGGAGCCGGACTCTATACACCGACGCTTGTTTCTGGCCCCGCACTGGAACTCGCACAGGAAAGCGGGTTGTGCTGAATACGGGATCCTTGCGTATACATGTACTCATTGCTTCCCAAGGACAACGGGGAAACAAGTATACACCACATCACCTAGACGTCGTCCCCGACCCTCAAAAAGTCTTGGGGTTGAAAAAAAAGCCCCCCACTGGTAATGTGTATGTTCTAGTTTCCGAGTGTGCAGTCTGCGCACGACTGCCAGGCTGGCCAGCCCTCGACGGCTACAGGCGTGCCGGCCCAAGCTGGCCGCTCGAAAGCCTCGCAGGAACGCCCCGCCCACGGCCCGACCGGAGCGCCTCGAGGCGACCACTGCCATGGGCAAGCGAGGGGGCCCCTGATAGGGAGGAGGAGGAGGAGGAGGAGGAGGAGGAGGAGGAGGAGGAGGAGGAGGAGGAGGAGGAGGAGGAGGAGGGGGAGGAGGAGGAGGAGGAGAAAAACGGCATGAACATACACTGTCAGAAGTCTGCGCGGACTTCTTGGATGGGCGCCTGGCCTCCCTCCCTGGCGCGCGGAGCGCGCCACGGTCGGCGCCGGAGGCGCCGCCAGCGGGGCACAGCACCGATCCAAGAAATACGCACGGACCTCCGAACATTTTTCCTGATGAATCTTCTGCTTCTTCGAGGGCAAAAACGTCGGGAGCGTGGGGGGGCACTCCCGTTGACCCCCTCGTCCTGCCAGGAGCCAGTTAGCATTCGCGATAACGCCCGTGACCAGCCGCGCCCCATCCCTCCCCCCGTCCCTTGGTCACGTCATGATTCGCGCCGGCGCCGTGTGGGCATTGGCCATTTCGAAACATTCCCAGGGCCATAGGTGGAGCACCCCATGGGGCCATGAAACGCGTGAGTGGTACACCGGAAAGGTATAGAGAAGACATGCCTTCAATGAAGCCCCAGTGTGGGGCCAAGGAACGTGTGAGGGCGCAACCACTGGGACCTCAGGTGGAGCTCCTTATGAGGCCACGGAGCGTGTCAGGGGTGCGCCGAGATTATGTAGAGAAAGCATGCGTGAGCTCCCTATTGCGCCGCGAAACGTGTCAGGAGTGTGCCGAAATTGTAAAGAGAAGGCATGCGTGCGTAGCCTCTCGAGCCTTAGGTGGAATTCCCTGTGGGCCTGCGAAACGTGCGAGAGGTACACCGACGAGGAAGGCGCGGTGAGAGTGCGCGGATGGCAGAAGCGGGAGGAGGGAGTTGGGGGAGGAGTAGGGGGAAGAGGAGGAGGTGGACGAGGAGGAGGAGGAGGAGGAGGAGGAGCATTGCGGGGCGATGCGCATCCGAAACGAGGACGCGACACCTCGGGATGGTGGGGGATACCACCGCCAATGCCCCCCCGGGGACCGCCTCGGCGGCGGCCCTCCTGCCCGCAGTGCTGTTCGCGGCGGGCGGGCGCAGCGCGCCCATGGGGGGCCGCCTGCGCAGCCGCGTGGTCCCAAGGGTCGCCTCTCGCGCGCTGTGCCGTGCGCATCCGCGGGCGGCACGTCAAAGGACGACCACGACGACGACGACGACGACGACGACGACGACGACGACGACGACGACGACGACGACGACGACGACGACGACGACGACGGCCCTCAGGAGTGCGATTCGGGCCTCGGTCATTCTCTCTTTGACCATAACATGCTCAATCTTCAGTGCTGTAAATCTTCGGGCCCTCTGGGTCCCAATTTCCGGGATCCCTGCGCGTCCGCGGTCGTCTTGTAAGCGGGAGCGTGGCCTTTCTCGAGGCCCTGGAAGCAAAGCTTGGGGACCCACGCCTCTGTCCTCGAGCCGTCGTTGGGGTCGATTGGGCCGTCTTGGGGTCTCTTAGGGCGCCCCAAAGATCACAACATCACAACAGTGAAAGGGGCACCAGCTTTGGTATGGCTTAATAGTTTCGCATCTTCGGTTGTCATAAGGCAAGCAGGGTGACCTTAGCGCGTGCTAGTGCAACATTCTCGCCACAGAAATTTCCAATTGCCTCAAGACGGTCCTCAACAGAGCGGGGCTTCCGATGCCCGCCCCAAGAGGAGCCAGACAAGCGCCGCCGCCGCCAGGCCGCTGGAAGGAAGGCCCTCCCCTCCGGCCCAAGACCCTCCTGGGCCCCCGAGAATGTGCCGAGAGGCCACCCAGATGCCCACAAGAGGCTCCTTTGGGGCTCCAAAGTGCCCGTCAAGAGCTCAAGAGGCACCAAACGAGAGGCCAATACCCGAAGGGGCCACCATCCGACGGAGCCTCAGTGCAGTCGGCCCGTATCGTAAGGATGCGCGATAAGGATGCAAGGGCCTTGGACGCCCATTTCAAAGCTTTTCGAGCGGGGCGCGGCCAACGAAAGTGGCGAAGGATGGACCGAGGAGGCAAGGATGCAAGGGTACCCTTGGGAAGGTTGCCCATCCTTACTATGCGGGTTGACCGCCTCACCATATCCCCGCTGCGCCACACGCCCGCTGCATAGACAAGGTGAACGAAGACCACTCGACAAAACAGGGCGCGTCGAACTCGATGAAGCGACAAAGGCGGCACCATGTTGCGTACTGTGGGAGGCTCTACTGGCCAAGCCAACAGTTCCAGCACATCATGCTATTCTAAATGACGAGCCGCTACACATGGACAGCACGAGGAGCGCCAGGGGCCCAGAGCACCGCATGGTCATCGGCAGCAACGGCAGCATGAGAGGGGCAAGCAGCAGGAGTGAATCCAAGAGGCCCTGAAGAGAGCCAAAAGGGGCCCCCAAACGGCACCCAAGACGCTTCAAAACTGCCTCCACCAGGCCCCCATGCAGCTCCAAAGACGCCCACAAGAGTCCCCAGATAGCGCCCTAGAAGCCCACAACGCCTCCACCGTGGACTCCCCGCCACTTCTAGGGGTGGGCGAAATGGTGTAAGCCTCGTGAATCCACATCCAAAGGTCACTTGCTGAGCGGCAGCATTTTCCGGCGAACGCCTGAATGCAACGTGCCCGTCCAACGCATCCAATAATTGCACCATTGCTACATACTGCATTGTGTTACATTATTATGTCTCACCCCATCCCCCCCTGGAGTCGCGCCGCATGTACGGACCAAAAGGTCCCCCCTTTTCTGGGGCTCCAGAACTTATCAAAATGTAGAGACATCTATGGTATCGGCCTCAGGGCCTCCTGGGGGTCCGAGAGGGCCTCCAGACGGCTGAAGATGGCCTCCACACGGCCCAAGACAGACCCAAGACGGCCCAGGAGGCCACCAAGCCGCCCCCAAGACGGCCTCAGAGGGCCCCAGAGGGGCCCCCAAGAGCACCTCCAGAAGCCAACAACATCGATGTTCATGTATTTATTTTCTTGCACAGGGTGCCTAGAGCTCCGGCCGCTCTCTTCTCTTGCACAGGGTGTCTAGAGCTCCGACCACTTTATTCCGCGTCGCACCCTCCCCTTCCTTTTACTGCAAGAGCCATGGCACACGTGCCACTTGTTCCGCGTCGCATGCACCACCCCCCGCGTCCCCAGCGCCAGAGTGAGACCCCCGCGCCGTGGCTCTCTGCCCCCCCGCGTCCCCAGCGCCTCAGCGGGAGCCCCGCCCACTGCCCCCTCCGCCACGAACGCTTTATTCCGCGTGGCACCCCCCCCCCCGCGTCCCCAGCGCCAGAGTGGGACCCCTGCGCAGTGGCTCTCTGCCCCGAGCATCCCCGCGTCCCCAGCGCCCCAGCGGGAGCCCCGCCCACTGCCCCCTCCGCCACGAACGCTTATTCCGCGTCGCACCCCCCCCCCGCGTCCCCAGCGCCAGAGTGGGACCCCCGCGCCGTGGCTCTCTGCCCCGAGCCCCCCCGCGTCCCCAGCGCCCCAGCGGGAGCCCCGCCCACTGCCCCCTCGCCACGAACGCTTTATTCCGCGTCGCGACGCACACCTCCCCCACCTCCCCCACCTCCCTCCCCGCGTCCCCAGCGCCCCAGTGGGGGCTCCACCCCGTGCCCCCTCCGCCCCGCAATTTTATTCCGCGTCGCGACGCACACCACCTCCCCCCCCCGTCCCCAGCGCCCCAGTTGGACCCCCGCCCCGTGGCCCTCTGCCCCAAGCCCCGCCCAGTGCCCCCTCCGCCCCGACCATTTTATTCCGCGTCGCGACGCACACCACCCCCCAACCTCCCCCCGCATCCCCAGCGCCCCGGTAGGAGCCCAGCCGGGTTACCCCGAGCCCCCCCGCGTCCCCAGCGCTCCAGTAGGAGCCCCGCCCACAGCCCCCTCCGCCACGAACGTCTTCTTCCGCGTCGCACGGCCCCCACCGTCCCGCCCCCACGATCGTTCTCCCCTCCCCGCCCGCCCAATGCACCCCGCCCCCCCTCCGCTCCGACCATTTTATTTCTGCGTCGCACTGCCCCCGCCGTCCCGCTCCCCCGAGACTTCTCCAATTTCTCGTCCCCTCTCTCCCCCCCTTTCCTCCTCCTCCTCCTTCTCCTCTTCTTCTTCCTCCTCCTCCTCCTCTTCCTCCTCCTACTCCTCCTCTTCCTCCTCCTCCTCCTCCTCCTCTTCCTCCTTTCCCCTCCGTTTTGTGCAAGAGCCATGGCACGCGTGCCACTTGTTTTTGTTAGCGCCCTTGCCTTGTTCCACACTAGAGAATCCATGACGGCCCAAGCAGCCTCCAAGTTGGCCCCAAGACGGCCCCAGAGGTTCTCAAGAGGGCTCCAAGACGGCCCAAGAGGGCCCCACTATGACTCGAAGAGGCTCCCAAGACGGCCAAAAACGCCCCCCAGGCGGCCCAAGGGACCCTTCAGAGAGCCCCAAGGCGGCCCCGAGAGGACCGCGGAACGGCCTCCGAAGGGGCCCGACGGCGCAAAGGCGCACCACGACGGCCCGAGCCGCTCCCCCAGAGGCCCTCCTCCTCCTCCTCCTCTTCCTCCTCCTCCTCCTCCTCCTCCTCCTCCTCTTCCTCTTCCTCCTCCTCCTCGTCCTCCTCCTCCTCCTCCTCTTGCTCCTCCTCCTCCTCCTCCTCGGTCGGCCTGCCGGAGCTTACGGTCATAGATACCTTGCAGCCTGCGTTAAGCCAAGCGAGGGAGGACAAGAAAGGGAAACGTGCAGTTAGACACCGGAGACCAAGGCCTACACCCACACCCACCCCCCCACACGAAATGAAGCAGGTCCTCCTCCGCCTCCTCCTCCTTAGCCACTGAGCCACTCACGGTCTAAGAGTCTGCCCGACGCGACCATCCCCCCCCATGGTCGGCCTTGGGGGGGGGGGTGATAAAACAAGGAGCCTGGCGACTCCTGGGGCAGTCGCTCCAGAAGTTGCCGACTCTTGGGATACCAGTATCAGTTTGGAGACGGGCAGGCGACAGCAGCAAAAAGACCGATCGAGGAATAGAGAAAAAGGAAAGGATGGGAAAGTGGGAAAGGAGCATGAATGGAACCTCCCTCCTCCTCTCTCCTCCTCTTCCTCCTCTCCATCCTCATCTCATCATCATCATCCTCATCCTCATCCTCATCATCTCATCCTCCTCATCCTCTCCTCCTCCTCCTCCTCCTCCTCCTCCTCCTCATCCTCCTCCTCCCTCCTCCCTCCTCCTCTCCTCCTCCTCTCCTCCTCCTCCTCTCTCTCTCTCCTCCTCTCCTCCTCCTCCTCCTCCTCCTCCTCTCTCTCTCCTCTCATCCTCATCATCATCATCATCATCATCATCATCATCATCATCATCATCATCATCATCATCATCATCATCATCATCATCATCATCATCATCATCATCATCATCATCATCATTCATCATCATCATCATCATCATCATCATCATCATCGTCATCATCATCCCTCCTCCTCCTCCCTCCTCCTCCTCCTCCTCCCCTCCTCCTCCTCTCCCCCCTCCTCCTCCCCCCTCCTCCCCTCCTCCTCCTCCTCCTCCTCCTCTTCAGCCGCCACGTGCTGCTTAAGCCTCCCCTGCCGCGGCCCAGCGGGCATCTCGCGCGGAGCAGATCCGCCCCCCTGGGGCGCCGTCGTGCCGCCAGCGCGGCTGGCCTTCCATACGTTCGTATTCACGATTAGACGAGCGCGTTCCACTACTCGCAAAGTAACTACTCGCAAATACAGTCGGACCTGGTTGGACAGGACACGCGAGAGAACACAAGACCCTTCCGAGGGCCGAATTGACACAGGAATGTAAGAGGCATGGGTCACGAGACACAGGACACAAGAGTACCCTTGATTTGGCAGGGTCGACCTACTAATCCGGGCCAGGTGTAGCCTGGATCCGCCACGGGGCATCATATCCACGATCTGGATTACGTTCTTGAGATGGGGCGTCTGCTACCCGCTCTCCATTGCCCTGCAGCATCGCCTTCGTGGATGGCCAGAACCACTTTCGCAAAACGACCTCGGGCTCAAAACTGGGAGGCGCAAGCCTGGACAATGACGGCCGCGGCGCCCTCTCGAGAACCGAAGACGGACAATTCACGAATCGACGTGTCAGGGTGGGGGTCCTGTCTACCCCCGAGATATTGATCGAGTCACTCAGATCATGGTAGTGATAGAAACTGGGATTTAGAAAAACGGCCCCGGATGTAAAAAAAACCCGTCTTTGACCGGCTTCTGCGTTTACTAAATGATGTTTGACTGATATTTTACTTCGGCGGCGCAACTTAATACATCCACTTCTCGCTTGAATAGATCATAGTTTTCCAATAATTCGTTTTAAGAACGCGCGTTCATTCATTACCATGACCTGTGCTCACCGGTGAGATATGGATGACGTTCTTGAGATGGGGCGTCTACTACCCGCTCTCCACTGCCCCGCAGCAGCGCTCGGAGATCTCGCAGCAGCTCAGCGCGGCGGAGGTGCTCGTGCTGCCCGAGACGCGATGGAGGTGGCACGACCAGACCAGCGAAGCGGACCAGCTGAACACGTGCAAGCACCGCGCCTACACATGGGGGCTGCGGCCGTGGCCGAATGACGAATGGCCATGCTGGAGGTGCCAGCACACTCAGCACGCGCTTCGGCCCTGGGTGCGCAGTCCAGCTCAAAAGAGTCCACCCGAGCAGTTTCAAGGACGCGCAGGTGCCCTCCGCATCCAGCGTGGGGAGCTCGGCCTCACCCGCATCGCGGCCTGCATTCCGCCTCGCACGGGGCTGGACGCGAAGCCTAACCAGAGGGCCAAGACCGTGAACGAGACATTCAAGTGGATCACTAGTATGCTTTCCTTCCGACGTGCAGCACGCCTCATGTTGGCCCCGAACTCCACGACCACTCGCAGGACGGCGGCCCGATCTCGCGGGTGCGACCAACGCCGCATTCGGTGGCGCTGGCCCCTCCGGTCACCCAGAAGAGGCAGGCCCAAGGCCACGCTAACGGCGATGTTGCTTAACACTGATGTTGGGAAGCACCTTTGTAAGAAATCACGGTCCGCATTTTCTTACATTTCCTCTACGCAAACGCATCGAACGACAACGACACAGCAAATTGTAGGAATGCGCGAGCCACGCATGCCCACAATACCGAAACCTACATCGCCGTTACCTACATCGCCGTTAGATTGTCTATGGCAGCCGCGGCATTCTACAATACGATGGACGTCAATGACATGTGCCTACTGGGCGCGTTCTGGCAGGCGGTGCCCGCAGACCTTGGCAGTCAGGGGCAAGCTACAAGCCTGACTGCTTGGCTGTGCCGCAGGGACTTCGACACAACGTTGCCTTGTGCTGTGCCTGGTGGCTTGTGGCCCAGGACATACAGCGCAACAAAGACAACGTGTCGAGCGATAAAATGCCAATGATAGCAACAACCAACATCATCGCCCTCAACATCTTCACATACGTGCAGCGCGCGGCGTGGGATTTCGGCAAGATGGCTGCCGCGCTGCAAACATATGTACATAGACGGGAGTGCATCGAGGACTTAGAGACACCGTCAGAGAACAACATCAACACCACTCAGCAGTTGAGCAACGAGGACACGGCTGCCGACCACTGGACCGTCCTGATCGACACACTGAAGAATCTGGCCAAACCCTACTTCCAACGGAATATCAAGCAGCCGGGCAAGTACAAGCAGCAGCAGGAGAGGCTACGACTACTGCAAGCACGCGCGGAGCCACGACAGGAATACATTCGAGGGGAGTACCCAGTGGACACAGGAGACAAGTTGGACCTCCTCGCACGAGCGCTCAGGAGACAGACGCAGCTCCACATCGCAGAGACCCAGCGCGAGCTCGCTACTTCAGTACATGAACCGTGGACACGTCGAGATCACGCCGAGGTACACAGACTATCGCGGTGCGTGGTGGGCACCAGGCTTGTGACGCGTAATCGGAACTGCAGCCGCGTTGCCAGATCGAGACCCAGTTTGGAGGAGTGGACCCAGCACGTCGCGCTCCGTGGCAGGGACGGCGGCTCCCAGGATCGCCCGATCGACCTCAAGGAGGAGCAACAGATATTGAAGGACAACACTCAGAACTTCTCCGACGAGCTCAAGCACCAGATCCGCGAGGAGTTCGAGGAGTCCAGGGACTCGCTGGGCAAGGTCTTCTGGGGAGTCCAGAAGCGGCTCAAGTACTTCAAGAAACGCGCGTCCATTCAACAGTGGTCCCTCCCACCAGGGATATTCCAGATGATCCTTCGGCCGACGGATATTACAAGAGCAAGCCGCGGACCTTCGGAATGGGCTTCAACGAAGAGCTTCCTAAGGCGCCACTCACCGATCAATGTTTCGAGGAAATCCTCAACCACACCTACCGGTCGGCTTTGCTCCGCAGGACGCACGCCACAGCCAGAGCTTCACGCTGGACAAGATTAACGGCAAGCCAACGGTGAAGGGATTGTGTTTTCTTCACATGTTATGCTCTTCTCGGCGGTGTGTATTTAGGCCGCTACAGTGCAGATCAAAGACGTGGTCGCCACCGCATCATGCCTATGGATGTTGGCCACATCGCCGAGGGGAAGTCCCGATATCACTTATCGTGGCAAGTCGTTTACAGATGGCCGACATCGACTTCAGATTGGGCAGTGAGAGTGAGGACGCCACCAGCGCCTTCCCGAGTACACGTGCAGAGAAGGCGGTCGAGACGGCCCCCACCAATCCCACCGGCACGTAGAAGCGCCTCTTCACCCAGGCATGCCAGTGTGCCAGCGTGCAGATCGACGGCTTCGTCAGATCAGGCGACTTCGCATTGGGCTCAGAAGAGGAGGAGGAGGAGGAGGAGGAGGAGGACGAAGAGGAGGAGGAGGAGGGGGAGGGGGAGGGGGAGGAGAAGGAGGAGGAGGAGAAGGAGGAGGAGGAGGAGTCTTGCCTGGCCGCAGTACGGGGCCTACTACACTCAATCCCGCCCACGACCAGCCCATCGGACAGTGCCTCGGTGAGACCATTCCAGGACTCCAGCCCCTGCGCAGCCGCGTCCCCCACCACGCACAGCACCTTGGGCCTCTCCGTCTGCCTCTGCGTCGGCGCGATCCCCAAGCTGCACAATGTCAGCAAAGCAGCAGCTGAGCAAGCGGGTCAGTTGGACAGAACATTGTGAGAGCTTTGAAAGTTCGTTTTGAGAACCAGTATGTTTCTCACGTGTAGTGGGTTATGTTGCGTCTGCCCGTCAAATTCTCTGGTCTGCAGCTGCGGTATTACTATCAAAAGACGTGACCCAGCCCTCGACAGCAAGCTCCAGGAGTACGGGTGCAGCCAGAGCAAGGGCAAGGAGGAGATTGTAGGCGGGCCCCGCAGTCGGCAGGAGAACAGCGCCCCTGCCGACCACCCGCAAGGCAGGGTGCTACGCGCGATCACATACCTCGGTGGGCACTTTCACCACTGGAGGCAGTAGCACTGGTAACACCGTCGAGTTCGACAGACCCAGTCAACACATCAACTCTGATGCCCGCTCTGTCCAGACTCACAGCCATTCCTGCATAGATTGGCATTGCAAGATCGTTTTTGTGAGACACACCTCCCTGCTGCAAAATACGTTACCTCCCTTGGCGGCGGCATCTCCTATGACGAGCTCGAGCGTACCCAGTCAGGCTCAGACGACGGGGCCAGCAGCCTGGCCGACACTGCGCGCACCCAGAAGGCGCCTCTCACCAGTAAGGGCGGCAAGGACGACAAGGGCAACAAGCACAGCAAGGACGGCAGCAAGGACGCGGACATTGAGGGCGAGGACGCGGAGGACGGGGGCGAGGCCAAGGGCGGAGCTAGAGCGCAGGCCGCTGCGGCATGGACCAGGGCAGCTCGGCTCAGACAAAGCGGGGAGCAGTACTGGGTCAAGCTCGGCCCCAAGCTGACGAAGATGCTCACAGCTCTCATCAAGCGGTATTGGCAAATCCCCAGCAGCTGGCCTGGCTCGAGGCAGATACGTTCAGCGCGTACAGTCTTCCAGTGCAGAGCCCCGTCGACCAGTCGCTGCGGGCCAGTCGCAGGATCTACGCGGAGAAGTGCAAGGAGGCTGGCAAGGGTCATTCTTTCAGACCGCCTGAAGGGCACACCTACATTGGGGGGCGCGCAAGCATGGATTAGCGATCCATGGATTTGGCGCGCGGTCACCAAATCCATGGATCGGGGGAGGCGCCCTCCCCAATATGCGGCCAATGCCGCCTCGCTCGGCGGCGGGAATCCGCGATTTCTCATGGAAACGGGCCCGTCGCTAATCCACGCCCCCTTGATCCATGTTTGCGATCGCCCGATACACGGCACTCATTTCGACCCTCTGCGCCGAGGACGTGGGCGGCAGGACGCGCAACATACTTCTCGAACGTGGCAAATTCCTGGACACGATCGGCTCCTCGGTGCTTCTCCAGAGGGTCGAGCACATCATAAGCAGCACGTGCGACGACCCCTGGACGGACGTGGACAACGAAGAGGAGCCCTCGCCAGCGCAGTACCAGCACACCAGCACCAAAGATACGATCCACAGGACCTTCACTCAGGTGGGAGCAGTGGTGAAGGAGGGCAAGGCGCCAACAGGCGTGATGGAGGATGAAATCCCCGCATGGTTTGGAGGCTTACTATGGACATGAATGGTGGAAGGCTGCTCCTCTACGCCGTGAGTGGCAAGCTCGGCGTGCGCGACTCCGTGCAGCTCTGGAGGCGCCGCGCGAGGTGGCGACGGCGGGGTCTTGGCGTACTGTGCAGCGTACGCCCCCGCCCCCCGAGACCGCTCTTCTTCTTCTTCTTCCTCCTCCTCCTCCTCCTCATCCTTCCTCTTCTGATCCTCCTCCTCCTCCTCCTAGCTCTTCCTTCTCCAACTCCCTCTTTCTTCCCCCCCCCCCTGGCCAACATCGGGCGCGGACGGCGCGCCTCCCCGGGGCGCCGGGGCGCCGCGCGCAACGGGCGGGCGCTCGGCGGCCGGGATGGACGCGAGCACGCCGCCCGCCACGCCGTCGCGGAACTCGCAGGTCGGGCGTCGGTGACGACGGAGCCGTCGGCGTCGGCGTCGTCGTCGTCGTCGCAGTCGCCGTCGCCCCGTCGCCCCGCCGTCGCAGAGCACGCGGGTCGGGCGGAGGCGGCGGCGGCCGCGACGGCTGCTAAGGCGCTGCCGCCGCCGACAGCGAGGAGGGGGAGAAGGAAGAGGAGGAGGAGGAGGAGGAGGAGGAGGAGGAGGAGGAGAAGGAGGAGGGGGAGGAGGGGGAGGGGAGGAGGAGGAGGAGGAGGAGGAGAGGAGAGGAGGGAGGAGGAGGAGGAGGAGGAGGAGGAGGAGGAGGAGGAGGGAGGAGGAGGAGGAGGATGAGAAGGAGGAGGGAGCGGACGACGACGACGACGATGACGACCCAAAGCTCGGGCGTCCTGGGTGGACTCAAAGCGGGGCGTGGGGGAGGGGGGGCTGAGGCGCCGTCTTCGGCGCCCTGCCGCTTCGGGGCGGCCCCGCGGCTGTCCTGGGGGCGGGGGGCCGAGGGGCCCAGAGAGGCGCCGTTGCGAACTGTGCGCTTTCTTTCAGAGCGTGAATTACCTCCCCCGCTTTCGCTTCCAGGCAAAACCAAGCCATACCACGCGCCTCCTCCTCAAGCGGCCTGACCAGTACAGGCCGCAATTTGGCATTGTTTGGTATCTCTTGGAAGCGAGGGTGGTCAAAAGCGAGGTAGGTTTGCTTTCCCCCGATTCTCGAGCAACACATCACCTGGATCGGCACGCGCAGAGGGTTTTTGACACCGCGTCGATCGTTCAGCCTTGAATCGATCGCGGCCCCGATCGTTCAAGGCTGAATTCCGTCGGGCCAGTGGCGTCACCGCGTCCCTCGGTGGTTCCGCGTCGCAGAATTTAACTTTGAACGCCTTCGCTGGCGTCGCCGGCGCGCCATCGCGGCAGAGGGGGGAATGGGGGCAATGACCGACCGTCCCTCCATTCCGATCGGCATGCCAGGAGATGTTCAGAGAACCCAAACGTGCTCTGAGAACAGAAATAATGTTCTTATACCATAAGCCCGATGTGCTCAAACAAGACAGTCGCAGCCAGAAGTGTTCTGAGATCATTCCGCGCAAGCCACACAAGGTTCTTAGAACATTCTTTGGTGGGCCTGCCGGGAAGCCAGGACGCTTCGCCACTGCTTGAGGGAAAGGGGGCAGGAAGGGGTACGCGGACAGCCGATGATCAACGTCCCACTCGAGTAAGGGCCACTTGGATAAGGAACACAGTGCCTGAAGGCCAGTGGGACGCCAGTTGTGGACTGGAGTGCCCCAAGAGGCCCCCGAGACGGTCCAAGAGGGTCCCCAATCGCAGAACTATCGGTCCAAAGCGCCTTCACGCCGTCCAGACTGCCCAGGAGGCCGCCAAAACGCCCTAAGAAGCCTCCGAGCACTCCCGAGAAGGGCCCCACGAAGCAACATTCATCGGTTTCCATTGCTGTTTTTGGTTTGCAAAAATGGTCGTTCTCGCCTTTTCCGCTCCCCGCCGCTACAATTTGTAGCGGCCCAAGAAGCTCCCAAAATCGCAACAAGACGGCCCAATAGGCCTCCAACAGGGCCCCCAGCAGCCCAAGAGGACCCCAAGGAACCACACAACGACTCGAAAACGGCCCAACGGGCCCCCAAGACGGCTTCCAGAACGTGCCCAGACGAGCTGGAACGGGTATTTCGAGCCCTCGGCCCCGAGAGGCTCCCAGGAGGTCTCACGAGGGTCCTAAGAGGCCCCAGAAGGCCCACAGGGGGTCCCCAGGAAGCCCACAGAGGCTCCAAGAGACTCCCACGGGGCCCCCAAGAGACTCCCAGGAGGCCGCAGAATTCCTCCCAGGAGGCCCCCGAGAGCCTTCCGAAGAGACCCCCAGAAGCATCCCTCTGCCCCACGTCAGCGTTGTCGCCGCCGTCGTCGTCGTCCCCCTTGAGGTTCGGCGGCACCAGCCGTAAGGCATCTGCGACATATTTATGCACATGCGTCTACAAGTATACACACATACATATACAGACATGTATGTATGTATGTAAGTATGTATGTATGTATGTATGTAGGTAGGTAGGTAGGTAGGTAGGTGGGTAGGTAGGTAGATAGGTAGGCAGGTCGGTAGGTAGGCAGGTATGTTTGTTTGTTTGTAGGTAGGTAGGAAGGTAGGTAGATAGGTAGGTATGTATGTATGTAGGTATAACTGCGTGTATGTTTGTATGCATATACAATATATATGTATATAAATATATGATTTATATATATAGGTATATATATATAGGTAAGTATATAATATTTGAAGCATGGTTACGACAGTCGTGCAGAGCGAGGTGTGAGGGCACATCAACACAACACGCATTACGCAGACACGTCTGTGAGCGGAAACATATCCAACAGAGATACAGGCTTGGAGGACACGTAAATTTGCAAAAACTCTCCACTGGTTAGGGTTGTCTTCTGGTGCCATGTACAAGGAAACATCTACGTTTGTACATGTGTATACATATATATATATATATATATATATATATATATGTACTAACGCGGGCCCGTGGATTCTATGCATTGAGATGGGCTGGTGGAGGTTCTGTGGCGCTGGCTGAGCTGTCCGAAGCTGTCTTGAAACCACCTCGGGGACACCCGCAGGGCGCCGTGTGGCTGTCTGGGGCCTGCTCGAGAGCTCGGGGTGCCATCTGGGGCCCTTCTTGGACAGACTCAGGGCTTCTTGGCCTATCCTGCGGCCCTGCTGTGGGGTTGTCGGCTTGTCTTGGGGACCTCGTGGAGCGTCTTGGGCTTCTCTTGGGCCGTCTTGGGGGCCTATTGGGGGCTTCTGGGGCTGTCTCGGTGCGATCGTGGGGCCCTTTGGGCCGTTCTAAGGGCACTGAAACGCGATAGTGAAGGAACAGCTCTATCCTTACGAAACACGTGAAACAACCATGTTTCTGGCGTCTCGAACCCTCCTGTGGGGGCACTCGCAGAGCTCTCCAGGGGCGGCACGGAGGCCCGGTGCGCAGCCGTGGAAGTATATTCGACAGTATTGGGCTGTCCCTGGGCCCTCCTGCGGGCGTCTTGATAACTGGGGCTGTCTTGGGCCCTTGGGCCGACTCAGACCTCGCGTGGCCCGTCTGGAGGGCCCCTGGGAGCCTCTGGAGCCCTTGTTGGGCTCTCCGCTGGCCCGAAGCCCGGGGGGCCCCGCCAACCTGCTGAGGTACATTGTCAGTTTACTCTCTTGCACAGGGTGTCTAGAGCTCCGACCGTTTTATTTTTCGCGACGCACCCCTCCCCCAGCGGGACCTCTGCCCACAGCGCCCCCCAGTGGGACCTCCCCAGCGCCACCCAGTGGTCCCCAGCGCCCCCCAGTGGGACCTCTGCCCACAGCGCCCCCCAGTGGGACCTCCCCAGCGCCCCCCAGCGGGACCTCCCCAGCGCCCCCCAATGGGACCTCTGCCCAGTGCCTCCTCCGCGCCCAGTGCCCCCTCCGCCCCGACGATTTTATTTTTCGCGACGTACCCCTCCCCCCCCCCCCAGACCTCCCCAGCGCACCCCAGACCTCCCCAGCGCCCCCCAGTGGGGCCTCCCCAGCCGCGCCCAGTGCCCCCTCCGCCCCGACGATTTAATTTTTCGCGCGACACCCCTCCCCCCCAGTGGGACCTCCCCAGCGCTCCCCAGTGGTCCCCAGCGCCCCCCAGTGGGGCCTCCCCAGCCGCGCCCAGTGCCCCCTCCGCCCCGACGATTTTATTTTTCGCGACGCACCCCCAGTGGGACCCCAGTGGGACCTCCCCAGCGCCCCCCAGTGGTCCCCAGCGCCCCCCAGTGGGACCCCTGCCCAGTGCCTCCTCCGCGCCCAGTGCCCCCTCCGCCCCGACGATTATATTTTTCGCGACGCACCCCCCCCCAGACCTCCCCAGCGCTCCCCAGTTGTCCCCAGCGCCCCCCAGTGGGGTCTCCCCAGCCGCGCCCAGTGCCCCCTCCGCCCCGACGATTTTATTTTTAATGTTTCGCGACGCCCCATTGCCTTGGTGCCGCCCCCCTGTCCCCCCCCCCCCCCCCCCCCCCACCCCACCCCCCCATGTGGAACCTCACCAGCGATTCCACAGTGGTCCCAGCGCCCCTCCCCCCCGGCAGTGGACCACCCCAGCGACCCCTGTACCAGAGCCCCCAGCGGGACCCAGCCGCGGCCAAGGAGGGCCCCTCCGCCACGGCGATTTTATTTTTAGCGACGCACCCCTCCCCCTCCCCCTTCCCCCCCCCCCTGTGGGGACATCCCCAGCCGCCCCAGTGGTTCCCAGCGCCCCCCCAGTGGGGCCTCCCAGGCGCTCCGTCCTCAGGTGACCTCCGGGGAGGACCCCGCGATTTTATTTTTCGCGGACGCACCCCTTCCCCCAGTGGGACCTCCCCAGCGCCCCCCGGGTCCCAGCGCCCCCCAGTGGGGCCTCCCCAGCCGCGCCCTGCGCCCCCTCCGCCCCGGCGATTTTATTTTTCGCGACGCACCCCTCCCCCCCAGTGGGACCTCCCCAGCGCCCCCCAGTGGTCCCCAGCGCCCCCCAGTGGGGCCCCCCCAGCCGCGCCCAGTGCCCCCTCCGCCCCGACGATTTTATTTATCGCGACTGATCCCAGCTCCCCAAGTTGGGGCCTCTTCACATGTGGCACAGTGCCCCCTTTCAGCCACGACGATTTTATTTGTCGGTACGCACCCTCCCCTCCCCCAGTGGGACCTCCCCGCCCCCAGTGGTCCCCAGCGCCCCCCAGTGGGGCCTCCCCAGCCGCGCCCAGTGCCCCCTCCGCCCCGACGATTTATTTTTCGCGACGCCCCCTCCCCCCCCTCCCAGTGGGACCTCCCCAGCGCCCCCCAGTGGTCCCCAGCGCCCCCCAGTGGGGCCTCCCCAGCCGCGCCCAGTGCCCCCTCCGCCCCGACGATTTTATTTTTCGCGACGCACCCACCCCCCAGTGGGCCCTCCCCAGCGCCCCCCAGTGGTCCCCAGCGCCCCCCAGTGGGGCCTCCCCAGCCTCGCCCAGTGC